TATATTATTTATGAAACACATCAAAGGTAATTCTAGCATTATAGCACGTCTTGGCTACGTTTTATTCGACTTACACAAGCCTATTTGCATGCATATACATATATGTGTACATGTATAGGTATGTGTATGTGTGTGTGTAGACATGTTTTACAATGCGACCTATTAAATTATGCGAATGTGTGATATATCGTTAAATATGTATAAGACTCGTCGCATTTCTCCTCCATATGTCGAACACAACAGCGAAACACAGCATTAATGTGTGTGTGTGCGTGTGTGTTTGTTAACTGCTTTGACTGGCAAATTAACATATTCCGAGCGAGTTATCCCTTAATGCGGCGTCCCATCTTTCAGTTTCTTATGCTCAGTCTGACAGTGACATGCGGCGTATGCGCGCCTTAATGCGTCTCTCTCTCTCTCTCTGTATATGTGTGTGTGTGTGTGTGTGAAGGTCACCAGCTACATTGGGTGCCCCGCTGTCTGAGTGCCAGCAATCATTGCCCTTAAACCCCATGCCCTGCACCCGTCTTAACCTCTGCCGGGCCCCATTCGCACATTGTCAGCGGCGCCCGTTTGTCTGCCGCTGCCGCTGCTGCTGCTGCTGCCACTGCTGCTGCTGCTTTTGGGCTGTCGTTTGTTTTGTTAATGAGCGAGTGCCTGAACCACGCCCACCCACGCCTCACCCATGTCCCAGCAGTAGCAGCAGCAGCAGCTCGCATATGAATAAATAATTAAAAAGTGTTTGTTCTTCTGGTTGAGCTAAGCAGCCGCAACGTTTGCGCCCTCTCGTCGTCTGCCCTCAGGTAAACTTTGCAATTGTTTCAAAACGAAGCGAAACGAAACGAAACACAACAAGATTTTGCATATCAGCGCCATTCAGCTTCCGCTGACACATTTGGCAATTAATTCTCAAATATTTTCTGCTGCTGTTTCGTTTTAGTTTTCTGTTACTTTTGTGTGTGTGTGTGTGTGTGTTTTTTTTTTATATATTTTGGGACTGTGGGTGTTTGGTTCGAAAAGGATGCCACAAAGCCGCAGAACACGGCTGTGTGGTTACCTGTTAAGAGCTGACAGCGTTTTGGCCGGGTGTGGGGAGGTGTGGTTGGTTTAGTTTGTGGCATTCACATTTTCGACTACGTTTCCGTTTCCGTGTTTGACACCTGCCACTACTTTTCCGGACTGCACGACAACGCCGCCACAGCACCGCCAGCGCTGCCCACAATAGTCGTTCGTTTTCGGCAACCAGATGAGCTAAAATTCCGTCATCCATTTGGGGACCAAGCGACGAGCCATGAATCAATGGCACAATGGAACAATGGAGCCGTGAAACGGGAGATAACACAGCAATGCGATTATGAAAGACGAAACTATAAAAGAACGAAAATTAAAGGATTGTAGCTAACAATGGATATTATGATCATAGTTGGTAGTGCTAAAAAACTTTGGAATAGTGGCAAGAGAGGCTTCAGAACATAAGCACCATTAAGCTATAGATCTATATGAGATTAAATTCATGCTGTGACATGGAACGTTGAGATTATGTAGTCAAATTGATATTAACGTTAAATGGAACAACGGAATGTGAAACAGTAGAGATTTATAACTGGGAAAATTTGTATTATTAAAATTGGGATTCCCGAAATTAATATTGTGTATAATTTAAGTGTACTGACGGAACAAAGAGCAATATACATAAACTATAGAGCAATACTACTAAGATCTTTTGTGGTATGGAAAGATGGGAATATAATATCAAGTTAATATTAATCTTAAAAAGAAATAGATTAGATAATAATCGAAAGAGAAACATTATTGCTGTAGTTGAATTTTGTATATAATAACTCAAAATGAAGTGCATCAAATGTATATGGAACAGCGGAACGCAGTTAATCCTAATGCTAAAAATTTCAGAAAATATTCCCATTGCTTTTAGCCACTGTGCACTGCGACTAGCATACTTTATTGCTCTTCATATTTTATTTTTTCATGGCGCTTTCATTTATAATGAGCAATCAAACTTTTTGTGTGTCTGTGAGTGAGTGCGTGTGTGTGTGTGTGTGTGTGTATTATAGATTGGAAATATTCATTGCGTTTGATTTCGCCTCTCAGGCGCATGAAATTCAATGCTAGCTAATTCACTTGCCAGAGTTTGTACAACAGCGCTGCTGCCTGCTGGGGCCACGCCCACAAAGTGCTCACAGTCCTCCTGTGTGGCAGAAAAATTCGCATTTGGAATGTTATACTGTCACCTGGCTTTATTTTGTATACCCTTAACCCATTGCAATGGGAAATCAGGGTATAATGGCTTTGTTAAAATATATATAACAGGTAGAAGGAGGCGCGGTTGACTCCACAACGAGCAACGAGCTCAGTCGATGTAGCCATTCCCTCTATAGGTTCGTGTATAGCATGCACATAACATGTTTAAATAAAGCGATAAATATTATCGTTTTAGTGTTATCGATAAAGAGCCTCATTGAAAATTAATGATATCATACCTCATTTTTGAGAGCTGGGCTGTCCAAACTTTGCATATAAATTCTTGTGTATACAATATTGATTTTCGTTATATTTTGAACACCGGCTGTAAGCCCATCCTTCTCCCTTAAAATTCGCAAACAAGTATTTAAGGTAAAGTAGAATGCGGCTATAACGACGGCGTTATAACCGGAAGGCGCTATAACCATTTAAGTTTGCTCATATAAGTTTGTCTGGGGACCAGAGCTTTCGTCTCAATAATCGTTCGGACGCTATAAACGGAGTCGCTATAACTGGATTCTACTAGCAAATATACACAAATGAACGTTGATAGCTCTTTCGGATGGTATGATGAAAACAGTCCATCTAAAAGATCAGAATTATTGGTGTACCAGTTCTTCAAAGGGTTCAGGTGATCCCCTAGTCGAGCAGTCTCGACTAGCGGTTTGTTATTTGCTTTGTTGTTGTTTTGTTCGACTGGCCGTTGGGCCTTTTGTGACCTTTTGGGAAGCCGCTTAGCTGTCGGAGCATAAATTTTCCTGGCTGCCCGCAGCTCAAAGTTAGAAAATCGAGAAGAAAAAACTTTCATATGAAAGGTGTATCAGTGCTGGGAAAAAGATCGATCTAGCAAACGATATATCGATGTTTCATATCCATCGAAAATATCGATGTAGAAAACTTCGATACTTGATATATCGCCATCACTATACCATTAATTCCCCATCACTTGAATTAAAAGCGTGGGATAAGACTGTCAGGTAATTTGCAAATTATTTTAACAATATAATTCAAATACTAACGTAACCCACTTTTCATTTAGGATTTTGGTGTTGGTAGTGTTGTAGAGAAATGGATAAGTTTTTAAACAGCAAGGACAATGGCGAAGGTAAATATTATTTTACTGCTTATGTCAGCCACACACGTGGTCTGCAGCTTTGCGTTTTAAAATAATGTAACAAACACGCATTTGTTTGTAGATTGCGACGCGGATAAGGAAAATGGAGAGGCTTGTCTCAAGCCGCAGCAAGTAGATATGCTGCTCTTCATAAACAAAAATGATTGGACGAAGTAAATGATCTTATTAAATAATATAATCTTTGTTACATAGTTTAGTTTAGTTTATATGAAACGTTTTTTAATTTTAATAAGAAATTCATCTTTTGTTTTTTATATGAAAACTTTTTTTTTAATTTTGGGAGCTAAAATATGTTTATGAAAATATCGATACATCGATCTGAGACCCATACATAATATCGAAATATCGATCTACGTAAAGATCGATCTTTTCCCAGCACTAAGGTGTATGTATACAAATATGTAAAAGTGTGTGTGTGTGTGTGAGTGTGTGCGTGTGTGGGTGTGGTCTGTTTAGCCTCTTTTGATATGCATTCCCCCATGCGGACGTTAGCCAACTTGGCTTGCATTTCATTTTACATAAATTTACAAGTGGGCTAAAATATGAACGCTTGGCCAACATTTTTGCCATGTAGCCATATTTATTTTAACACTGCAAAGTGTGTGTGCATGTATGTGTGCGTGTGTTTGTGTGTGCCAATTGACACTCGTTGTGGTCAGCGCCGGGGCAACTGTTGAAACTCGTTGAAAGATTTGAGCACTTTCGAATGAATAATTTTCACTCTGGGCTATTCATCATATTTGGGCAAACTTTTAAGGTTAACGGTAAAAAAAAAACGAGAAGAAAGAAATAAGTGAAGTACGGTCCGAGTCCTGTGCAAAGTAAACAGTTCGACGATAAGCGATGTTGTCAAGACTCTGACTAAGCCACGGCAGCATCGCCTAAGCCCTCTTGGCCAATGAGTGTGCGAATGGTTCAGGGTGTCAAGGAGAGTTACTTAAGCTTTATGATGTACATTTTTAGAGGAAAGAAGGCCAACAGCCAGGTGTAAATTACATTCATCCCCAGACATTTGGGCAAACATAAATTGACCTACAAAAGTTTATGAGTCGATAAAGAGAGGCGAGACGGTTTTTTTTATTGTTAAGGAAAGAACAAAAGAAAAATGCAAAGAAGAGTTTTAATGGGAGATAAGTAATATTAATGTAAAGCTGCTGATAAAAGGACTTTAAACATTCTTCTGGAGATATATTGTATATAGCGGTATATGAATGTAAGCAAATGTGAATTAGAGAGTGGTTAGAGATGAATATTTGCTAGATTTGGAATTAATGAAAACCTTTAATATTGTCACTCTGTATTGATTTTTTGAGAATCGCATAGTAGAGCGATATTGAATTGGATGAAAGTTCCCATAGTTTATAAGCAGAGTTCAAGTTGATGAATTTTTAATAAAAAATGCAAAATAAATATTTAGCTGATCAATCAAAATGAAAGCTAAACTCAGCCGCTAATTTTATTGGCTGAGAAAGGGTAAATAAGTTGAATGGTAAAATTGACAAAGTTGTACTAAAGTCTAAAATGCCTTAATGAGAATCGTATAGAAGGGCTATACATTCAAATAAAATTCTAGTTATACCCAATGTTATCATTTACTCTTTAAGGCTTAACAAAAGCTAAGAGGTCTAATGCCAATCAGAATGCTGGCCACATTCTCCCTAAGAATCGGACTCATGTTGCGCTGTTTCTCCAGGCTGACGGGCTGTGCGTGGGCCTGCGATAGCTGATAGAGATCCGCGTAGTATTCCATGCCAGCAATGCCGACTGCATTGAAGCTGGCCGACACTTCGGTGCAGTCGATGATGGAGGTCTTGAGCGGGGTAACCAGCAGCGTGGAGTAGTAGGGCACCTTTTTGCCCTCGAGCAGCTCGCGGATGAGCAGGACAGCTGTGCGCGAGCCCGCCAAGAGATTCCAGCGGGACCAGCTGAAGTTGTGGGACAGTGCCAGGGTCGAGATGCAGGCATAGGTGTGCATTTCCATCACAAAGTTCTTCTCGCAGGAGCCCTCCGTGTAGCAGAAGGCGTCCTCATCCGGAAAGATGTCTACGGCGGACAGGATTAGAGTCGCCTTCAACTCGCTCAAGCTCAACGTCTTGCCCAGCATATCGGTCAAGCCCTGCGTGCTGCCGCCCTGGAAGTTATGCACGGTGTAGCCCGCTTCAGTGATGGTCATCTCCAGGCTGATCAGCGAGGCCGTCAAGCTGAAGAATATGGTGCCCGGGCTGGCAAATGACACTTTGATATTAAATCACATAGACTTGGATGGACTCTGTCGATCATACATACTTCTTCATATCGGGTCTCAGGTCCCAGGTCTGGTAGGGCATGTTGCTGTATTTGTTCAGGGCGAAGCCAAAGATGCCTGGAAATCAAAGGGGCCAGGTGAACATGACTGGAGAATCTTTGGGGAATCGTTTTACCAAGTCGCCCTGTGCGAAACTGTATGGAGAGTTTGTCCTCATTGAATTTGGTGTCGTGGACATCGCGCGTGCTCCACTTGCCCTGCGTAATGGCCGCCAGGCTGCTCTGCTTCTGTCTGCGACTAGCGGGAGGAGAGAAGGGGAAATGGGAGCTGATAAGGGATTTCCAACACGAATTCATATAGAGCCTACGTTTCGCTGTCGCAGTTGTCGCTGTTGCTGTTCCCGCTGAACGCCTGCTGAAGAGTGCCGCCGGCTGAGGAATCGTTGCCGACGTTGCCCTCGAGCAGCTCCAGGAGGCTGTCCTCGTCGTCCTCATCGTCCGCATCGTCGTCGCTGCTGTCCTGGCTGCCAGCTGACTTGGGCTTCGTGGCCTGGTCTTGGTCCTGTGCGGGCAGCTGTGTATCGCGGATGAAGGAGATGCCCGTGTAGTAGGCGAAGGCCGCAGCCGCTGCGGCTGGCTGCAGCACCTCGACCAGCTCCTGGCTCAGAGGACGCAGCTCGTCGGCCAGCTCCTCGCTGACGTCCTGCTGAGAGCCGCTGGGCGACAGCTGCTCGGATATTTGCTGCAGCAGCTCCTCGTGCTGCTCTCGCGGCAGCTGCATGCGCCACAGCCGATCCATGTCCTCGATCAGCTGCGAGAAGAGGTAGCAGCCGCTGGGCGTCACAGGCGGCGGACGCGCCAGGCTGCGGAACTTGAGCAGCTTGTCGAAGCAGATGGGGGGAAAGAGCTCGGCCGGCTCCGCCGTGTCCAGGAACTCGGCGCCAATGCCCAAGCTGCTCGACGGCTGCGTTGAGTCTGTTGCACACGCCAACGTTGTCGCAGCTGGCGCTCCCTGGCCCAGGCGCACGTGTGTCTGGCGCGCCAGGAACATCACCTGTCGCTGCGGCTGCCCGCTGCTCGACTGCGGCGTCTGCTGCTCCAGGCGCACGCAGAAGCCCTGCGGCAGGCGTGGCACCACAAAGTCCTTGACCAGCCCATACAGGTCCACATTCCGGGGTATGGCACGCAAATCAAAGTCTCCGATTTCGCGCAGCGTTTGCGCCTGCAATGCGGCCAGATCGGATTTCTGGGAACGCATCCTGGCTGGACCGCGCGGCGAGCTCTTTAGCGGGCTGGGCTGGGCGTTGGTCGAGAGTGGTGTGGCCTCGGTGGGCGTGGCTGTGGTAGCTGCTGCCGTTGCTGGCGCCGCTGCTGCGTCGGGCTTTACCCCATCCGCCAGCTGCGACTCGAGCGTCTCGATGTCCGTCTCCCAGCGACAGGCAATCGGTGGCTCGAACCAAATAACTGAATCGGGCAATCTGCAAGGCAGACAGCGCAAAGACTGTATTTATATATATTAGATATCATCTGTTAGATATATAGCCTATTATCATTTCTTTTCTCTTCTTGTTGGTTTCAAGTTGGGCTTAGCTATAAATTGGCAATGTTTATGCATTGGGGTCTGGGCACTTAATAAGTACTCTAGTTAGGAAGACCTGATTAGTGGGCTTAGCGAAGGGTTTTAATCTTGATTAGGACATATATATATAATCAAGGAGCAAAGAAAAAAAATAAAAATTTGTCAATTTATATTGTTAATAGGCACATCTGAAAAGAATTTTATTTTGTAGAACATATGGCGCGGTAAAAGGAGGAAGGGATGATCGATGATAGGACGAACGATCGACTGGAAGGTGGAACAAACGGTGGAACGGACGGTGGGGCGGAGGAGGAAACAGACGATGAGATAGACGCTGGGACAGATGGTGGAGCGAACGGTAGACCGGACGGTGGAACGAACTGACGATAGACAATGGGATAGGAAGGCGAGACGGACGGTGCAAGGTAAAGCGGAGGATGGGGCAGATCATGGAAAAGACGGGGGAACAGTTGGACGGATAGATGCTGCGACGACCGGTGGGATAGATGGTGGAAGGGATGGTAGAAAGGACAGAGGAACGGACGGTGGAACGGACAGTGGAATGCACGTAGGCATTGACGGTGGGACTGACGTTGAGACAGTCACGGTAAAACGAAAAATGATGATGACGAAACATCGGAAAGGACGCAGAGACATTGACTGGATGGTTGCCTTTGGCTGCTCCTTACATTTGCACAAACATTGTGCTCGGAATTCCCATCTTCAATGGTTGCAGGGCATACAAAATCAGTTTGATTAAACGGCAAAGCCAAAATGGCGGAAAAAAAGTCTTTTAAACAACAATAAAATGTTTTTCATCTTATATAGGGCTTACGGCTCGCAACGAATACTGAAGATGCTGTTGTGGGTAGCAGGTCACAATATATGATATAGTATATACATACATATACATATACATATATATATATATATATATATATATATATATATATATATATATATATATATATATATATATATATACGTGTATGTATTTAGCTAGACTGGCAAGTCAATTACTTACTGCAGTGTGACTAAGGCGAGCTTATCCAATGCCGCTTCAATCATGCGCATCTCAGCCTCAATTTCCTCGGGCAGGCGACGCACACCAGGCAAAACCGGAGGCGGTGGCTTATAGGTCTGATAGTATTCCTTGTGCATCAGATTGTTCGTGGCAAAAACTGCAAGCGGAAGTAGCAACAACAGTTATACATATGTATATATAACCACTATTAAATGTGTATGTATGTAGTCTCTGCTTGGTCTACCCACTGGTGCGTATGAAGGAGCGAGCATTCAGTTGTTTATCCTGCTGCGGCGTCTCCAGAAAATCGATGCAGTAGACGCCTGATATGATGCGGTATTTGCGCAAATTGACATCTGTTTCGAGCAGGCCATACGCCTCGGGTCCGACGGCTCGGCGGCGCGCCTTGTTGAGCTCATCCTCGTATTGGGCGTAGAGCTTGTCCACATCGTAGCTGCGCTCACGTGGCGGCTGCGAGCTGGACGAGTGCTGCTCCTGCGTCAGCTGCTCCAGCTCGGACAGCGGAATATCTCGGGCGCACTCATCCAGCATGGACTGCAGAATCTCCTTGCGCTTGCGCCACTCCCGCTTCGTTTGCCGCAAAATAGCTGCCAGAATAGTATAAAACTGTAGCTCCCAAACAGCTCAGATTGATTAGCCCATCAGCAGACTTACTGGCATTTTCGGAGCGAGCGTGTTTCAGCTGAAAGCTGCTGCAGTAGTCACTAAAATGATCATAGTTGAGCCAGAGCCCTCGCAGCGCCGAGCTTTGCAGTTGAACCGTCGGCGGCAGTGAGAGGTTCATCTCGATGGTGGGAAAATCGATCTCATTGTGGGCCGACTGTTCGCCAATGCGAGCTTTCGGATTGACAGCGCTGCATGCGAGAGGGAAGAGGAGGAAAAGAAATTAGAGTGGTAAGCCAAGAGTCGAAATGAGGAGAAGACAGAAAGAAAGGGAATAAAGTGTATTAAAATAATGAGTGCCAGGCAAGAGCTCAAGTATGAGAGGCTTAGCAGGAAGTATGTAGCTATTTGAATCAGTTGAAGCTAGCGGAAGTCAACCCCTTATTTAATAACTTTGAATTGCTTGTGGAAAAACTCATCCAGAACTGCTTACCTTAGGAAATCTATTCAGTCTTGAAATTATGACGGCATACCAAATCTGAGACATTTGGAATTTGTGTCTTCAACACAGAAGCCTACAGCTTTTATCTTCTGCAAGTTGAAGTTCAATCTGAAATATCGATAACTATCGATAATATAAACTGTGTTTTTGCGGTGGGGTATGTGAGTAGAAGAATATCCAGTTCACATTTCAATTCTGATCTTTAGTGACAAATGAGATGATGGGACCCGATCGATTTAGCTCGACGTCCAAGTTCAATATTAGAGATGTCGAAAAGAGGGAGAGACAGAGGTATAGATAAATGAACAGAAGTACTAAGGGAGAGAGAGAGAGAGAGAGAGAAAGAATTTTAGATATATGAAAATGAAACTAGCTCTTATATCTTCTGAGATATAGACAGACAGACGGACAGACAGGGCTAAATGGAATCAGCTCGTTGCCCTGATCAGGAATATACACACTTTGTGGTGTCTGCCACGCCTCCTTCTGCCTGTTTCATAAATTTTACCCGGATTTTCCATTGAAAAATGGTTCAGGGTATAAAAACACTTTTCAAATGCCAATTGAGTAATTCGATGGAAATATCTCACATTTGGGCATCCTTGGAGAACGTCCAAACGAAACTCTGAAAGACATCGGAGCTGTAGATGTGCTTGGAGACGCCAGGTCTATCGATTCTAGAAAGAAAGAAAGAAGACCGACTCTGATCTATGGCACTGAGATAGCAGATTGTAGTACTGACTCCATGTCACGTTCGATGTGCGACATTGTCTTGTGGGTGAACTCGTCCAGGTGCTGCTTGAGGAACACGCGCATCTCCGTCTTTAGCTTCACGAGATCGGCGGCCACATGGGCCGAGCGGGACTTTGTGTACGCCAGCGACTCGTCCAGTTCGCTGAGAATCTGTCGGGGGAGCAGAGTTTAGAGTGGCCCTCCGGCTGGAATGTCTGCCCGACTTACGCCCAGCACCTCCTTGATGCGCTGCGCATAGACATCGCCCAGGTTGCCCTGCTGCTGTCGCAGCGAGACGCGCGTCAGATCCTCCACCTGGACATCCTGGGTGAGGAGGGTGCGCTCGTCCGTGCGCAGCAGCCAGTTGCGCTCGTCGCGCTCCCGCTGGGCAATGTCCGCGTGCCACTGGTGGATGTATTTGCGCAGGTCGCTGGGGCTGGCCGCATTGGGCAGCCCGTTGCAGCGCATGTACTTCTCCCACTCGCGCTGCTGGCGCTCCTCGGCCTTGATGGCCTCGATGGTCGTATGCACCTGATCGAAGAATCTCATGCTGTCCTTGAGTTGGCGCCGTCGCAGCCGATTCTCAGCCACCTCCTGCTGCTGGCGATGCTTGGCCTGTTCCATTTCCAGTTTCTTGCGCTGACGCGCCTCCTCCAGCTTCTTTAGTCTATGGATGGGAAGTTTCTCAATTACAGACGATTTTCTCTGCTTGCAAGCCTCTTTCTACTCATTCATACGAACTTCTCCTTCTCCATCTCGATGCGCAGCATCTCGGCCTGCTCGGCCTCGAGGCGTGCCTTCTCCTTCTTCGACAGCTTCTTCTTGGGCGGCTGCAATGCCATTTGCATTACATATTAATTGCATTTCAATTACAAATTGCACCTTCGCCACGCCCACTTACCATGCTGTTGCGCTCCCAGTTGCCAAATACCAAATACCAATACCAATACCAAATGCCAAATGCCCAAAACCAATTGCCACACACCTGCCAGGTATCGATCCAACCAGCTGCAGCTATGGCTACAGCTAGTTGTTGACGTTTTTGTCGTTGCTGTTGTTAGCTGTTGTTGCTGTTGCCTAGCTTTGCGCCAAGCAAATCCCTTGGCCAAAACACAAACATAGCTGGCCAACACAAAGCATCAAAACAGTTTTGCAGCTTCAGCTTGCAGTATCAGTGGCAGCAGCTACAGCCCCTAATTAAATATTCCTTTGGGGGCTGCGAGCTTTGTGCCCTTTAACCTTTTGCATTTGTTGGCAGCCATCCAGTGGATGGCGAACTGGAGAAGAGCAGAGCAGCACACAGATAGAGAGAGAGAGAGAGAGAAGGGCTGAGACAGGGCGTGAGCGGTCTTGCGGTTATCATGATGGAAGGCGTCATTGGATTTGCACGTCATGCCCCTGTGGCTTAAGCTGCTACCGGGGATCAGCTAACAGTAACTTGCCAACTGCTGTCAGCTCTCTCTCTGCCCCTCTGTCTCCCCCTCACTCTGTATCTTTTGCAATCTGATGTCCACATGCGCCAGCCACAAGGTGTGCGTGTTGCTCTGCTAAGCCAAATTGTGATACACATTTCATGGATGTTGTTTGCCGGGCTGCTGCAGGTGCTCGAAGTGAAACAAGCTTAAATAACCACACGATAATTATTTGATGGAAGCAGCAATTTAAAATCTTTGAGATGAATGTGAAAAAATTATGTACTTATGTAAATTATGCAATCAGAGCTTCAGTTTAAGCTCTTCAATTTACCTATCGACGTGATGAAGCTAAAGAGCAGAGATATATGTACATGGGAAAAGGAAGTGGGAATTACAAAAATAGAATAGACATGCAGGCTTCTGCTTATAAAAAGAAATATGTACATTACATAAATAATATCAAGGTCTCGCCAAACAACAAAGAGAGTTTTAATCTTGATTTTTCTTAATTTAATTGATTATCTTCTTAATGTTCAAATTTGCACATGAATTGGACGACCATCTTAATATTCAAAACCACAGAGTGTGGCGGCATGAGATAAACAGTTATGCTCCATTATCTAATTACGCACTGGAAATAAGTTCTGTTCCGCAAAGATTGCTGATTGCTCATTTAAGTGTACATCACTGTGATCTTCAGGCTGTGATCAGCTTTGATCAATAAGAGTCAATATGGAGCACCTGGAGCACCCAATGAAACGGTATAATAAATATAATTAAGGGTATTGTATATAAGTATATATATCCTTTCGAGCCTTTTGCGTCTTCGCCTTTTGTAGAGGTTTCTGGCTAAAAATGGTTGTCCATAGTCGACAGACTCGCCTGGCTCAAGACAGGCCGTACAGAATAAACGCGGACATTTGAGAGATATCATATACAAGTAAGAAGGCTCCAGTCGAGACTACTCAACTAGGAGCTACCCTGAACCCTCTGCTAATTGCATCGTAAAAGTGTTCAAATTAGGCTGAAAAAACAAAATTCATTTTTCGATTATTCTCGATAAAAAAAGTTATCGGATGAGTTATCGAAAAAATAAGATAAATTTGTATCGCGTATGGTACACACGAGTCTACATGCCAAATTTCAGCTCTCTAGATCTTATAGCTTTTGAGATCTAGGCGTTCATACGGACGAACGGATCGTCGTCCTGATTAAGAATATATATACTTTATGGGGTCTGCTTTTCACAAAACCATTATACCCTGATATCCCATTTTCAATGGGTTCAGGGTATAAAAACTGATGTTAACAAATCTGTTTGAACCAAATAACATGATTATTATCATCAGCATACAAAATTTGTGTTTTTCTTTGATTTAGAAATAAAATGAAACATAGATCCTTGTAGGTCTGCCAGATAGTTGCGTCGAATATGGACAGCCCTGTGTATTTGAGAAAACAATATTTAGTAGTCTTTTTGGTTATTTGGAGGGTATTTTTTGCCAGCTCAGAGTGCAGCACTCACATTCTAATTTATTCCATTCAATTCTATTCATCAAATTAAACATTATATATTTTTTTTAAATATAATTTTACAGTACTTTTCGCAAATACATATTTATGTGTAAGACTTAGGGTAAGTTGCCTTAGTAACAGCCTTTCAATTTTAATTACTTTTGGCAATTTACTCATATACTGTACATATTATATACATATATAAAATTATTTATTCAAAGCGAATTCAATCAGAAAAGTATACATATATATATATTTGAAGTGTGGCGCCTGCAACTTTTCTTGAATTTACATTATATAGAGCTGAGGTTTTTTTTTTTTTTTTTTTTTTTTATCAGCATGTCTCAAACTCAAACTCAGTCTGTGCTCGCTGATTGGGCCCTTTGCTTTCGGTTTTCTATTTTCCTATTTTACGCCTAATTTGAACTTTTTTTTGCTACCTCGCCCGGGCTTTCGTGTCGTCCCAGATAGCAGAAAGTTTGTGCGCAGTGTGGGAGGGGCAGGGCAGGTGCGGGTACTTAAAGCAAAGGCAAAGGCAAAGGTAAGGTGACAACGAGGGCTAATTACCTGGCAATTTAAATAGCAGGTCACAGCGCTTCAGTTCCGCCTCTCAGACTCGCATTTCACATTTTTCGGCTAATTGCCGCATCCAGAGCCACAAGCTCAGCTTATCAATTTAATGTGCAGCGCTTTGGGGCGACGTCAAGCGATTGCAGCCAGCAGCAAAGATTGCGTTACCTAATATGTTAAATTTCCACGGATGAGATAAAAAATGGAAAGAGTTGCGTGAATGGGTTAATCGCTGTAATTATGCAAACGAAAATATGTTCGTATGAAGTGTGATATTTTATTTTAATGCTATTCATTCACTTCTTAAAACTACAACAAATATGGAAAATTGCCAAAATACAAATGTTTTGGCTTATTAAATAACATTTTTCTTTTAACAGACTGTTAACGCTTCTATGATATTTCTTGCACTTTCTTTTAAACTGCGACTCGTCCTTCATCAGAAACTTATTTCTCTACAGTCCTTCTGTAAACTTTATTTTCCTCTGGCACATCGTGAGGATTTTTAGCTTTTTTTTCCAGCAAATGAAAATAAACACTGTTAGTTAATCGGGAGTGTTTGACTAAGAGATACGCCGAGCCCTGCGATAAGCTGTTATTCCAATCACTCTGCGTTTTTTCCTCACACACATAAGCACACTCTCTTTTTACTGCAGTTGGTTTTAGCCCAGAGCAATCAGTTTTTCAGCTTATCTGGTATTTCACTAAAAAAAACAAGTAAGAAGGCTCTAGTCGAGACTGCTCGACTAGGAGATACCCTGAACCCTCTAAGCTGATATTCTAATCATTCTGCACTTTGTATGCACACATACATACACATGCATCCACACGCACGCATAAGCCTGCGCTCTGCTAACTGCGCAGTAAGCAGCGACTGCGCTTGGGCTGCGCTGCAATGTGGGCTATTGCCCACATTATGAGAATTTATTTGTTGAATAATTTCTTTTGTAGACATAAGATCTTAATGAAACTTTCAGAGTGTAATTATATGATGAATATGTGTGTACATTCCAAAGCACAAGTCTCTAGTACTTGAAATGCGTTTTTTACAAATTTGGGGCGAAGGGGGCGTGGTATCCAAAATCTGTAAATTACAAAATCTTTGTATCGATTAACTTTATATACAACCCAAATTTGAACACTCCAGGTCTAAAAATGTTCAAATTAGGCTGAAAAAACAAAATCAATTTTTCGATTATTCTCGATAAAAAAGTTATCGGATGATTTATCGAAAAAATAAAGCAAACTCGTACTGCGTATGGTACACACGAGTATGCATGCCAAATTTCAGCTCTCTAGCTCTTATAACTTCTGAGATCGACGCACTCATACGGACGGACAGACGGACAGGGCTATATCGACTCAGCTCGTCACGCTGATCAAGAATATATATACTTTGTG